GGTTTTTTTTTTTTTTTTTTTGTACTGGGGATCAAACTTAGGACCTTGCTGAGTGCTAGGTTTATAGGAGTGAGTCATGCCTGGCTCTCTTTGAGGGGAAAAAACTTTCCTGACAAGGGATAAGTCCTTTCATTGTTGATAAAAGTTAATGGAATTTATGAGGAATCAAGAATGTCTGGAGGCTGTGTGTGTGTGTCTGTGTGTGTGTGCACGCGCGCGCATGTAGCTAGCTCAGTGATACAGTGCTTGCTCTGCTTGTGTAAGGCCCTGGGTTCCATCCTCAGCACCACAAAAGAAAAAAAGGAAGAAAAAAAAAAAGGGAAAGGAAAGGAAAGGAAAGAATGTCCTGGACTCCACATTAACACAGTAATTTAAATGCCAATACAAGCAAATACTGCTCCCCAACAGTATTCTAATTTACAGTCTCTCCATGAGTATCAAAATGAGACAGTGTGCTTTTACAAACTGTAAACTACTATACAAAAGTACTACCTGGCGTGTGACACATGCCTGTAATTCTAGTACTTGGGAGGCTGACACAGGAGGATCACTGTGAGTTCAAGGCCAGCCTGGGCTACACGGTGAGTTCAAGGCCAGGATGAACTACATAGCAAGACTGTGTCTCACACTCCCCTGAAAGTATTATTCTTCTTATCTTCAAAGAAATCAATTACCCTTTTAACATGACTTGTAGATCTTGTGTTTCTGCTTTGCTATGGCTAAAAGTAAAGTAGAATATTTCCAGGGGTTATAGAATTTATTATAAAGTAATGATACTTTACTACCAACCAATTTCATTATATCTACTTAATTGTACATTTAAGACTCAAAGTCTGAGGTATCAGTTTTCCCACCAAACGGCTAAAACAATAATATCTTTATTCTGTTTCATTCCACCAACATTTAATTCTAACACAACTAGGATTTAATTCTGAAGCATTCGATCTTGTCCTACCTGTTTCCTTTATCTTTCTATCCACTTACCTTAGAAACAATCAGGATTAATACAAACCTGATTGCTTTTAAAATCAGGTATTTGTTTACAAATAGCAAGGTAAGGTAAATCCAAAGATTCATTCTTCCAGAAATAGTTATAAAACTAAGTGGTAGGAAAAGTATAGTCAGTGGGTAAACCAAAAAAGATAAGCCACTCTCACAGGGCTAAAACCATTCCACAGATGCTAAAATTAATTTATTAGTTTTAGAAACATTTTCAGACTTCAGTTTCTTTACAGCCTTTGAACCAAATGTGCATACTCCATGCCTCAGGAATTCCCCTTTCAGGTCTGTAACAAAGAAATACCCTGTCACTGGTGTAGAAAGAATTTTGTACAAAGATGTTCATATTTCAGCACTGTTTATAACAATAAAAAAGTGAACATAACCTAGATGTCCACCAGTGGAGGAATGGACAGACAAGCTGTGGTACACTCAGAAGCCAGAATATTTGATAATAGTCCAACTGAATAAACTAGATC